TGCCTTTAGGCTCTTTCTCACTTTTTAAGTGACTATTTACTGCCGTGCAATGCTTTAAAATGTGTTGGGTTATTTTTGTATATATGGCAATGTGCTTTGCATTAAGGCAGCCCTTTTTTTTTATGGGCTGTCAATACAACTAAGATCACAAACAAATTGACCGTGCAGTGTTTTTGGCAATGAAGCGCACCACAATACAGAGTATTTACATTATGCATTGTGGTACGCTATCATGCTATTGCTTTTTTTGCTTGCTGTGTGTGTGTTTTGTGGAAACATTGAAAATAAACGCACTTTTTTTTTTTTGCAACGCTCAAGTGTGAAACGAGCCTTAAATTCTCATTTTGCTTCTTTGATGAAGGAAGCTTAGTGACTCATGGGCACTGACTCATACTTTATCATAATGGTCAGTTCAATGTTTCAGTCAAACAAACTGTTTCTCAAAGCAAGCAGAACTGGTATGCCAGGCTTAATTGTATGACGTTATGTGTCACGAACATTTTGAAGTTTCATAGTGGTGGGTCACAGCTTGTAATAGGTTGGAAATAAATAGGCTATACAGAATGAAGAAAAGGTAACTTCTCCAGTTAGGGGGTTGTATACAGATTTTACTGCCTACTGTGCTACACATAAACCAAAGAGGAAATAATACTGAGCAAATGTCACAATGTAGATAGGAGTATTCTTTGATGTTTCAAGGTGTGTGTGTGTGTGTGTGTATATGTATATGGCTCACTGATGCAATGTGTGAGTGATTTCTTTACAAATTTTTTTTTATTTTTTTTTAGAAAGGCACCATATAAACGAACTCCGTTTTTAACAATATTGAGATATATTTTTGGACCTTAACTAATTCCATAAACTAAATGTAATTGTAATCTTTATTTATCCTATTACAGAACATGGAATATTAAAAGTATTCATTGTTTATCAGGTTGTTTTTACCTTCCAGGTATATAGGACTTTTTTTTTTAATCAAAGTCCTCTGGGGGAAGTTGTTTACCATGTGTGCAATGTATATAGAAACATAAGCCTTTATAACACTTCACGGTTTTCCAAGAGCTCCAAAATTGTCTATACAGCTGTGAACAAATTTGTTGGTACCCTAACTCATATATAGAAGAATTCACAATTTTCTTTGAAATTGGCATCCATCATGGTTTATTCCATATTTACTAAAAATCTGACTTTGCTGTTGATTTTTGATTTAACAGAATATTTAAATACAAGAAATAAAAATTGCATGGACAAAAATGTTGGGACCCTTAACTTGATATTTTGTTGCACACCCTTTAGAGGTAAATTACAACAAACAAGTGATTTTGGTAGATCAAAATGAGACTTCTGCACCTGCATACAGATAGTTTGGCCCACTCTTGTTAACCAAACCGCTCCAGCTGTCTTTGTTTTTAAGGGGTGCCTTCTCCAGACTGTTTCCAAAATTTTCATTGGTGTTTGATTCAGAATAGTCCAAAGTTTCGTTCTTAAGTGTTGTTAGCTGTGTGTTTTGATCATTATCCTATTGATGGGCCCATGACCTGAGCATGGCTGAGACAGAGCTTTCTGACACTGAGCAGTACATTTCACTCCAGAATTTCTTGATAGTCTTGAGATTTAATTGTGCTCTGCACAGATTCAAGACATAAGCCCAAGCTGCTTTCATGTTTTTATTTTTTTTTGGCCTTTGGACATAGCACTGTGTGACTTGCCAAAAACAAAAACTCCGGGGTAGTCTCATCTGTCCGAAAGACATTCTCCCAGAAGCATTGTGGTTTGTGGATATGCAGTCTAGCAAATTTCAGTCTATTTTATTTAATGTTTTTCTTTCAGCAGTCGAGTCCTCCCAGGTATTCTTTT